TTAGTTTTAGAAAAATTAGAAAAAATAAGACGAATTATGTCAAAACAAATATTTGTATGTCTCCACCTGTCTAGCTCCTCCAGAAGACCCTGATTCAAGCACTGCCTGTTGGTATATCAGAATTTAGAATGTATGGAAGATACTATATTAAATATGTTGCGAGATAACGAAAAAAAAAATGAATGACTATTCGAGTCTATATAATATTGCAGAATAGGTTTTAAGCAGGTACCCTTGTTAAAAGTATTTTTTTTTTCAAAAACATAAATATTGTGTTCTACTGTTGGCGATTTTTTTTTTAAATATTACACAATAGAGGAATTTCAAGGATCCCAAGGTCAAGGTCTCTAAATTATCAAAAAATCATGTATAGACATCACGATCTTGAGTCGTGTTTTATACTCGAAAGATATTATATATAGTGTGTTATATACTTCTATACTTCACATATCGATTATCGTCTGTAACAAGCCACATACTTTTAACCTAGACCTATTATACCATATTGCTACAGCAGACGTATATAGTGCGTGATAAATGTATATGTGTACCTTGAACCTATATATAGTGGCCAGTGCCCGGCGATGTTCATTTGGTACATCATATTGTATACGCTATACCTAGTCAATGTAGTCATAATATTTATGTAATGAAATTCTTAAATAATATCCTCCTTCGACAATAGTTCTGCCGGGAAACTGTATGTAAATCATACCCATGATTTTCGACGCCGGTTATACTTTATTTTTCTCTTACTTTTTTAATAGGTTCATTATTTACTAATTTCTCATTGGTTGTGCTTCGTTTCCCAATACTATGACATAATTAACCGTTGGAGCTAAACTGGTCCGTGATGCGAGAAGAGAAATGAACATTATTCGGGACAAATCTTCGAAATAATAAATACATGTTTAAAATATTATAACCCTTAGGCCACAATAAGTTTCATAAAGAAGAAAAAACGTCAATCAAATTATGTAATAATAAAATGGCACGTGTTAAATAGTTTTAAAGACAATTATTATTGTTACATATGTGAAATAATTATTTACAACATAACTACGATATATTAGCCATTTTCGATCGAAAGCAATCAGCGCCGACACATATATAGTGGCGGCTGCAACATACTATAATAGGTACAGTATAAATTAGGTACACTATAAAATATAAATGGGTATATATATATATATATAGGTACATACAGCACTCATATCCTACCTATATAATCATAGTAATAGTATGGGTATACCTATGTACAAGTATTTTTCGTATCGTATAGCATAATATAGTAATTATAAGACACGCTGCAGCATATTATGTTCTTGGCGTGTACCTATTATATACAAACGCTAAACAGGTAAATTAAAATATATCACATGAGTACAAATTGAGTTTGGTATATTATATTATAATTATCGTGGCACATTTATATAATCCAATCGGATTCGAGTGAATATAATAGGCATATCGGCGTCTGTTTAGTCAGTTTCGATTATATGTTATACATTAGTGCGTACAATATGCAGTGACGGCCACAATATATAGAAGCATGACAATATGATATAATATACTCTAATATGTTTACGCCTACCTAATAGTAAACAAATACTTTTTGTATACAAACATACAAGAACTTTAGGATTACGTAATTTGCATTGATTTTGACACATATATAAATACATACATAGATATAACATACGCAGCTAAATGCAGTTAATACAATTAAAATTTATATATTTTATATACCTACGTCGAAATAATGCAGTTTATACATATTGATATGTTTATTTATTTTTGTTGCAACCCAAAGGGCACCCTAAATCCATTGCTTGTTGGTTCCCAAACGGCTCCAGTATCCGACGACAGAAATTCTTCATAATTAACTTTGCACATAAAATGTTCAAAAACATCAACACATTTTTAACCACACCTCTTTTAAGTTATTCCTAATAAAGGAAGCCATTTGGGAATTTACGTATTTTTACAATGGGAACAATTTGGAAATTATTTACCTTTTAATATAACAGGAGCTTACAAATGGGCTACAGCCCATATTTTGACTTAATGTTGTGAGAGGGTCTTCAATTTTTGCCATTTCTCTTCTAAATAATAGAACATTTGCTACATTTATTCATATATAAATATTGACTACCTACTATATATTGCTACTACACATTTTTTATTCAAAATTTCTCAATAAATCCAGAGTGTAATATATAATATACCAATAATGACGCCAATGATTAGAACGAACTCGGCCTTCACGCAGTACATATAATTCGTATAGTATAAATAATTATATTACGATTTGTCTAGTCCAGTGCCCCACTGTAGCAATCGACAATAATATTATAATAATTTATATTATACATAGGTTGGCGTATCTATAATAATATTATATCTAATAATAATAATGTTTATTGTAGGTATGCTCGTCGTCGTCAGATAAAAATATAGGAGTAAATAATATTCGAGAATATTGTAAGCCCCGAGGACGCACACACCAATCACTATTATATATAGGTACATAATATATATTCGACCTCGCAATTGAATATTAGGCCTGCGGGGACGTACGTTTTGTGCATACGATGTTCTGAAGAAACGCCGAAGAAACTATAAAGTGCCACTATGATGCAAGTCAACATTTTTAGCCAAAGAACATACGGATTTAGTCCCTTATTATGAAGGTTAGTTCTTAGTTGTATCTCGGATGGTATAGTACACATTATATTATCTTTACAATAGTTACAATTAACGAGTGTATGAACTACTTTACAACTCAACTTTATTAGACTTTCAAAACATAATGTATGATATATTGATATCTACTTCAAATCATTGTGAACAATTTTAATAAGCTAATAAGCACAGTATAAAAGAGCTTACGCCAAAAAAATTAGAAAGGTTATATTTCAGACAGAAAGCGGAAGGTATACTGTTCGTTTTTTCGTAAAATAACCGAGTGAAGTTATTGCGATAGAAAAATTAAAACCAACCATCGCTTGTGCTAGGACTAATATATACATTATACATTGAGTTGTTTGTCACCCGACTTGCATAATTTCGAATTTATATAATATAATACATGATATTTGAGTGTACATGATAAATTATAATATATTATTATGGTGTAATATAAAGACAGAAAATATATGTTTCCTATCCATACGATTGCGTATATGATGTCACGTGAATTTCCTATTTGACTATTTCAATAATATGGGTATTAAGTTTTACTTTCAACGGGCGAAAAAGAAATAATCAAGAAATAATCTGGGAATTAGACACAAAATAGTAACAATATATTATTGTCTTCCTCTATCAATCACCTCGTAACTACAAAATATATTAGGAATAATATATAAAAACGATTAAAAAAAAATCGTTGGTCAACATTTGTAGGTGTAAGTATGATGCTATTATAGTGATAGTATCCCTATAAGACTGTGAATAATAAATATAATAATATTATATTACACTTTCATTACTGCTGTTTAAAAAGAAATCCTAATTTGTATAAGAAATAACTAATAAGGATTTGGAAAACCTACGACTATGCGTTTGGTGAAGTATCAAATTTGGCACGGGTGAAGGTTTACAGTTTATTTTAGCTGAGAAAAAAAAATATCCTTTCTGGTTTCTCTGAACAAATGTATGATCCCGCCATCCCAAGTATAATATAACACCTATCGTTTCCAAAAAAACAAATGCCAGCATGATGCCAAAAATCGCAAATAATTTGCTATCATATTATTTTCAGTGTAGATACCCGCCTACACATCGAGAACCTGCAGCACTCTTATACCTAGCGTTTAAGTTACCTGCAGCTCGACATTTACGACGGTTAGCTAGTGCGTTTTTTAAGCATAAGATATACCTATGCGATGTTTTCTTCGTTTATCGATCTCAAGACTAATTTGTTGTCAAACGCATTTAATTAAAATAACAATAAAATATCAGTTCGTATGAAGGTACCTCGGTTCAACTTCAATTATAAATCCATATTCGCTTAACCTATATAGTATATACTATACCTATCTACATATCATGATGTCGGACTGGGGTCATGCTGTATCATGACAGTGCCATTTCCGCGATTACTCTTATCGTTTCCTATGATTTTAAATTTACCTTTGGTGATGCCAACTATTCTGCAGTTTTAAGAAAAAAAATTAAAGGTTTCAGTTTGCAAATGAATTTCCAATTTTAAAAAATCATTCTTATTCGTCACTTGCGCGTGTTTACCATTTTAGTAGTTACTTTTTTTTTCTGTAATCAAATTGAGTTGTTGAGATGAGTAGAAATTGTTTTTATTTTTAGTTTTCAACACACATGTCATACTAATAAACAATTATCATTTATTTCTTATTGACTATTCAAATTAATGTTTATAATAAAATGTAAGCACAAAAATTGAAAATAAATTTACCTAAAGGTCATATTGTCGAAAATCGTCGAAAATGGCACAGTCAGACACGTCTAAGTTAACAGAGACCGATAAATTCGGAAAAAAAATCGTCCACATAAAAGTATACTTGATGATTAATCATGATATGTATATTAGCATTTAGCATATAGGTATCTAAGTATATAATATTGGTAGAGTCAGTATTTTTTATGGGCAGGGGGTCCAAGAACTACAAATTTATCATTAACGTAATATAAACAAAATATATTATACATTAGGTATACTATTACTATAGAGCAAAATCCAATCACTGCAGCAGAAGTCCGAAACCGGAAAATACTATTTACTAATAGGTACCAACCGTTGAACCTATTTGCTATAGTGATGGCCACATTAAACATGACAACTATTATATCAATAAAAAAACGTAACACTAAGAAGTAGTCGAAATTTTGGTTTTTGATTAATTTGGTATTTGACGATGACCATAAAGTGTCAAGCGGTGTCCACCCCCTTCAGCGCGCCACTGCACTATAATATTTTATAGTATGTATATTATTGTGTCCAAACAATAGTGGATACTGACCTTTATCTGGCTGTTGGTCCTCTGGTGAACCGTTGGCGGGGACGTCATGTACCCTTCCACGGTCATGGACTCCTTGGCAAAAACGCAACAGTCTGCCGAAGTGGAATCGATCATGTTTTCGACGCGAGAGATGTCAATGGCTGCCAATAATACTGTCTCAAAGGTACAGGTGCACGGCACGATCTGGTTTCGGGGGCTATACGCGGTCGGCGCACTCGCGACTTACAAAACCACCCTTGTATTCGCCGGATACCCAACAATAGTCAAACGCACACTCTCAACACTCTTCCGGTCGCTGTGCAACGGTGTCCACACACACAGTGTTCGGCGTACACGATCGACGATCGCACGCGATATTACGCGGCTTGTATGCAATATCACTTATTATTAATTATATATTTATCAGCGTTGTACCTATCGTCTGCTGCAGTATGGGACCACAGCAATACGATATCGTAAAATATAATTTTTGAGCGCGCGTACTATCGTAGTAGTCGTCGTCGTCGTCGTCGTCTTACGCAGAACCGGTGTGTGTGTGTGTGTCTCTGTGCGACGTGTCGCGCGAGTAATGCTGCGACTGCTCTGCGACAGGCACCTGTTGCGACTGTTGCGGCTACAATAATAATATCATCGTGAGCCAAATGTTGCGGTAGTGCGTATAGTATTATTATTATTATTACTATTATTATTAAAGCAGTCGGTGAGAAAACCGGTACCGGCGGTACCGATATAGTAAAAAATCACGCCACCGCCGCCGCCGCCGCCGTCGACGACCACCACTCCGCGGCCGTCACCGGTCGAACGGACTTGGAACAAAAATAATAACAATAATAATAATAATAATAATAATTTAATACTATGTACATGTATAATATAATACGCGCGCATAGAGGTATACATGGTACCTACGTATATATAATAATAACATATTATGAGCTGCGATAATAACGCGTATAATAATAATTATTGTAAATACGTCGCCGTCGTCGTCTTGCCTGTCAAAGTGGTGGAACGTTCGTTCACCTTGACATCGCCGCCGACGACGTTCGTTTTGTTTCGTAACTACAAACTAACGCGTGTACACGCTCGACGGCATGTGTGCCGATGATGACGTCTGTAGCATGGTCGTGCACTCGTGCGTTTGTGTTTTTGTTTGTTACTCGTAAATCGTAAGTATTTCAGGTGGTTATTACATGCATATAAGAGCTACTATATCATATGAGCTAACAGGGAGGTTGAGGTTCTAGCAGCTTGGAGTTCTAAATTTAATTTTTCTTTGAAATCGCATACTATGATAATATCTAATTCGAAACGAAACAACGAACATTTGAATTCACTTAAGCTTTTTTTATAAGTTATATAACCGTTACAAGTTTTAACATCTGTGCAGAATTCGAATTCAGAATTCAGAATCCGATCGATACATATAGATCATATAGATATTGTTAAAATATTATACCCAAAAATCACGATGTGATGCTACCAGAGTTACATAGCACCTATAATTTACTCACCAACATATCGTATTACGCTTTTAGTGTTTCGCTTAATTCAGGGCCTCATTCAGACTATTCACGCCTCGGGGCAACAACTGCATCTCCCTAATATTTTCCGCCCAATGACCCTATAGTTTGTTATTTTCGTCATTATTTATGCTTCGTATATAATATCTATTCTCAAGTACATTATTATTACTATTATTATATATGAGTTCTAACTCATAAGAATACTAATTAAACAGTAGAATAATATATTAATATACTAGTATACTACTATATAAACTAAATAGACAATATTAAATAAAACTAAATAAAAAGTGTTTTGAAAAAATTAAAAAGCCTATTTTTATTTTAAAACATGATATGTGCTTTTTAAATCTTGCACCCGATGGCAAATGGCCCTTCTGCTCCCTTTAATTAGGCCCTGAACTTATTGATACCACATATACATTTTTAAATAGTAATTTGGTAATTTTACAAGTTTACAGTTATATCTTACTTCTTAAAAAAAAAACACGAAGATAACATACCTATCACAGACAATGTTCTTACCTTAAAGTTTAACCATGGGTAAATTCAATATCCACTCCATGAAAACTGACGAAGTTAAAAAAGAATTATTACTGAACGTCCATATTTTGTCATACTAGGTAGGTACTCATTTGTAAGACGGATATGAGATATCCTCTTAGCAAAAACATAAAACAAAATGTGACTATTTACTAATTTATATAAAAAATCTTTAATGGCTAACTGCACTTTAACTATTTCATCTGCATTCTGCAGGTAGATCACATCTGTTATATCCATAAGAATTAAAACATTCAAAACATATTTAGTGCATGTTGATCACTTGTGCTCACTTATCAAGATAGGTTTAATAATTTATCGATTCTGCATATTGAAAATTATATTGGAATTTGTAATTGACCCCAAAAAAATCTCCAACGCTTTCATGTTTCATTTTAGTAACAACAAGAGAACTTTTTTTTTTCATTAGCTCTTATGAAAAATTATAACTCAAAAATTAAATCAAGAAAAAAATTAATATTCTAGATTAAAAATAATTGAAAACTCTGAAGCAACAACAATACAACTCCACATTTTTATCAAAATTGGTTTTGATTGCATATTATTTAGAAAAACAACTCCGTCGTTTGGTGCAACAACCAAATAAATCCGATGAATCGCCGTATAATCCGTATAATTTCTTAATGTGACAATTAGATATCTCCAATAGTTTTATTTTTTGGTTTGAGATAATGCAAATTTAATTTTGACAATTCGTCACTGTCTACACTGCCTACTTACCTACACGAATCGAAGTTGGATCTAAGTATATTTTTTATAACCTGTAAATACTTTAATGAGTTTGTACCTAACCTCGATTATGCTGTGGTCTGTGAGTGTACGACACACATATAATATTTATTGCCATTGCATAAAATCAATATATTAAATAAAGTATAACAATTATGAATACATCAGGTATTGATGTATAACTTAATGTACCTAATAAGTAAACATATACAAATTGTTAGTTAACAGTTAACACTTCATATGAACTTGAACATTTTAAATTAAAATTTTCAAGACTTTTTTATTGAAATGTAAATAACGTTCAGAAATCATAATACTCATTTTATATACCTAAGATGATTTCACTTATCTAATGCAGGAGTTCATATGTCAATAGAACATGATAACCCATGGGCTGTTATTATTGTTACACCGATTATGAAGAGAGCACAGGAGCTTAAATGTTCCAGTGAAATAATTTGTATAGGTTCTACTAGCAGTGTAGACACAACTAATAGTACGGTTACCAATATATTAACCTCATCCAAAGCTGGAGCAATCCCTTTAGCTGTTATAATTCACGAAGGCCAATCTGAGAATATATTGGAGCATTTAAACTTCTTCAGAATCATTTAAATTTGAGGTTTCAACTTTAATTTAGTTACCTACATACTTTAATCTATAAGTAGCAGGGGCATAACCAAGGGGGAGTCTGGCCCCAACCCCCATGGATTGACAGGATTTAAAATGCATAAGGTTATTAGGACATTTATTGATTAACAGGAAGTTAGGGTTGGGCGTTATTCGAATGAAATTTTACCTAGATGATTATTTAGATAAAATTGTATTCGAATAAATTATTATTCGAATGATTTTTTTGCAATTATTCGAATAAAAATGTATTCGAATAGTTTGAAAACATTAATATTCGAATAAAAAATTATTCAAATAATTGTCAACTATAATTATTCGACTAAATTTCAAAAACAGTTATCCGAATAATTTTCGTTAACTTTATTTTGGTAAATATAGGGTTGGTAATTTAAAACAGGCACATATTATAAAAAATAATTGTATTTTAAGTTACACGATTGTGAATTATTTTATTATTCAGAAAAATGTAAAAATATTTTTAATAAACAAATATTAAGAAGCAAGTTAAGAATTAGAAAAGTAGATATTTTTTAAAATTATATTTTAATAATTATTTTATAATATTATAATATGAATAATATTTAATGATAATATTTCATAACAATTACAAAAATCATAAGTAGTTATAAATAATAATTACAAAAACATAAATAGATAATTACAGCAAAAATGAAAATAAATAGTTACAACAAATTTAGAATTTTAATAAGTTCTACAGTTCTTAATGGAACCATTGATTGTATAGTAAAATTTGTAATATTTTTGTCAAATTGGTCTTGGGTATATTTAACACGATGTACTCTACCAACTGCATTATCCGTTTTAGAATCGTTGACTCTTAATCGTTTTTCTGATAAATAATTTCCATATGAATCAATAACGGATTGATCATGTCTTCTTTTGAGATGTAACTTAAAATTAGACGTTGAAGATAATGATCCTTTTATTTCAACATTACGTGGCTCACATATTACGCATGTAGCAATTACCTACTTTATTTTTGTCAATTTTAGATTTTATTTTAATAAACTTACCATCTAAAATGGACATAGAATTCGTCATTATCCTCAGTTGACTTTTGTGTTGAAATTATTGAATATTCATTATGCATACTCAATGAATTCGTATTGAAATAAATTGATATTTTAAAAATTAAACACGAGTGTCACACGTTCATACGTAGGTACTCGGCACTCGCGCATAGAAAAACTAACGCGGCAATACGACACAAATAATCATAAGATTATCTTCAAAGTTTATACACTACCTACAAAGTACATTTGACATTGTTTTCAAATTGACAAAGCCTCATTTTCTATGTTTAGATATCATACAATCAAACAGATACATTTTATAGTTTAAAGTTATATCTATATTATTATATTTTTGTGTAGAGCTCTATATTTGAACTTATATAGTATTGCAACGTGGTTGGGGAACTTTGTTCAGATATTAGTTATCCGGGGAAGGTTTTCTATTCTTTAGGGATACATTTTCAGTAGAAAGACATGTTTGGTTTGTATAGTCAGAGTAATTATTATATACCTATTAAAAAGTACATTACTGATATAGAAGATGGCTTTTAATATGTGTAATTGGTGTCGGTGAGTTCGCTCGTGTTGGTCGTGTCTATCGAACTGACTACCTAATACTTGGTATGTGTTGGCGATAGGCCTTACAATATTATGTGTGTTGATAATGTTGATTTTATATTTAATATATAGGTGTCATGCAACAGCAACATACTTATACTATACCTATTAGTATCGTTACAGTATGATATGTTATATACGACAACAGTTACATCTAAAAAAATGATTTGATTATCAACTATGGTCTATGTTTAATCAAATAAAATAACCAACAATTATTCGTATAATTGTCTTTGAAATTAAGTCGAATAATTTTTTATTCAAATAATCATAGTTGAAAATTATTCGAATAATTTTTTATTTGAATATATATTCATTTGAATAATTATCTAGATAAAATTTTCCCCGACACTGCAAGAAGCTATAGTGAGCTCATTAGAAATAATGACCAAGTGGGTTGATCAAAAACTTCCTCAAAAGCAACACAACTGCTTCTCTCATTAAGAGATACAACATTTAATGAGAGTTTACTAGTTATTGTGACATTTTTAAACATTCATGTATATTGTGTAAAGCATTACAAAGAGACAATATTGATTTAATAGAAGCAATGAATTTAGCTAAAGATTTAACGAAAGAAGTAAAACATAAAACGAATGAGACAAAATAGTGATGAAGTTTTTTTAAAAAATGTTATGATCTTAGAAGAAAAATCTAAACTTTTAAATTTTGATATTCATATTCCAAGGATTTGTAAACTTCAAACTAACCGTTATAATATTTCTACAGACTCTGTTGAAGAGTATTTTAGAATATAAATTTTAACACAGTTTTTAAATTATTTTATTGATCAAATGAATACAGGTTTTAAAGAACACAGTTCAAACTTAAAAGGTTTCAATCTTTATTTGACAATGATTTGGATAAAAATAGAAATTACATTTTAGAGTTAATACATTTTTATAATGAATCAGATGATTTGAGTGACTCTGATATAGTTATATCGGAACTTAAAATGTGGAAAACGTTTTAAATAGAATTGAAAATGAACAAAAACTAAAAAAACTTTTGAATTTCTAAAATTGTGTGATGAATACTTATTTCTAAATGTGTACAAGTTATTAAAAATAGTTTGTATTTTACCTGTAACAACATGTACTTCTGAAAGAAGTTTTTCATCTTATTTAAGAAGTACCATAACTGAAAATAGAATAAATGGCTTAGCCATAGAGGAGACTTATAACTCCTGAAGAAGTTATTGAACAGCTTATTAAAAAAAAATAGAAGACTAAAATTTTAAACTATTAAAAACTATATTTTAATACATCAAGTTACATTTAAAAATTGTGAGATTATGGGGTTATGCTTATTTCTTTTACCATTAAAGAATTCATGAATAAACATTTTTGTTGGTTTTTCAATGATATAATTTTTTATACTTTTTAAATGTTAAAACAATTGGACCCCCAATGAAAAATTTCTGGGTACGCCCCGGATAAGTAGGTATTAGTTCTACAAGATGTAACTTAATATATGATTTTATCAATTATTATTAATGAATATCTTAAGAAATACCTAATAGTGTAATAAATATTTTAGGTTCCACTAGTTTTTATGACTGATGATTCCACTGCTGAAAAAATTCATTACTATTTCGACTATGGCCAAAGGAAAATCAATTTCTTTATAATTTTGCATATGGCACAAGCAGAGTGGCGATGGCTTCACGATTCCAAAAATGGAATTAATGTTTCTGACCATATTCCCTCAATGAAGCTATTTCAATCGGTAATATATAATTTTGATGTTCACAATTCAGTTAAAAATTGAAAGTTTTACTAAATTCACAATAATTAATAATTACATTATATACCTATAGTTTAAATAATAATACCTAATCATTGACATTTTAATTTATAGGCAACGTATTCTGAATCAAAAAACGACTCTCAGATAATTGAAGCTCGTAATAAAAAAGAAGCACCAGTTAATTTTATAAAACAATTTGAGAATAACTGTAAAGACTTGACATTTGACTTTCAAACCAGGCTAATTCAGACTTGGAAAGTTTGGTTTAAAAACAAAATGAAAACTTGTAAATATTAGAACCAAATCAATCATTGCTTAAAAGTTTGGTTCAAACTTCAAACCAATGACATACATATGCATATCACACTTTATAAAAAAAGTTCATATTTTTGGTAAAAATAGTATTGGTTTCATAAGTTTTTAAAGTCGAATTCATGTCGAATTCATTCTCAAAAATCAGGGTTCATAGCATTACTTAACTCTGTAGATAGAAGAGTAAAACTTCATAGACTTCTAAAATTAAGTAAACATAGTACTATTAAGTATTAAGTTTAGTGGCATGTATGAATAAAGCACCAAAATCCAAATAATATTAATTTGTTTTGTATTGGATACATTTATCATTGTAAAAATAATTGAGAAAAATTAATAAACATTTATTTTATCTGTATTTTTTTAAATAAAAGTTTAAATCTAAGTTATAATACATGATAAATAACATGTAAAATAAAATTGGTTTGGAGTTCAAATATACTTAGTAAACTCATTTAGTTGGACAATTATGAGAACATGATATTAACACAAATATTTATTTATTTAATAATTACAAAAATTTTTTTATTATTATTATTTTTATCTCTTGAAACCTCGTCCTCCTCCTCCTCTTCCTCCGCCACCACCAAATCCTCGTCCACCGCCAAATCCTCGTCCTCCACCGCCTCCGCCGCCACCACGGCCTCCACGTCCGAAACCACCGCCTCCACGACCTCCGCCGCCGCCACCACGTCCAAAACCACCGCCACCACGGCCGCCACCACCTCTACCACGTCCTCTTCCGCCACCACCTCCTCTACCTCTCTGGCCGCCAGGTTGAGGTAAAAATTTCTTCAATGGTAATAGTTTTACTGGATCAATGTATAACTAAAATATAAAACAATTGTATAACTTAAAATATATAATTGCACATAATAATTATAGAATTATCTTTACCTTGTCGGCTCCTTTGAAAGATTTTGCTTTAATTTCAGAGTTTAACTTTATGGACACAAAATAATCACTGTATGTTCCAAATATTTCATCTATTTTTCCAATCTGTTGTTTATTGGCAAAATATATGGGTGCATTAAAATATGGAACATCTTCCATTTCAGCCTTGCAAATAATGTCATCTTGACAAGCATGAGTAAAATAACCCAGAGGTACAACCTACAAAAATAAATTAAATTATAATCATGATTTTTCAACATAAATAACTCAAATACATTACAAATTCTTTTTAAATTATCAATTTTTTACTTGGAAGTTGAGTGTTTAGAGAAAATGAAAGAAAAATAATGATAAAATTACTGAACTGCAAAAACAAATGAGCATTGAAAAATGTCCCCTAAAAAGAAGCTGCCATTATCATTTATTTGCTATGATTTTCATTGGAACTATGTGAACATTAAATTCTTACTAATAATGAATCTATGAAAATTACAATATTGAAAAGAGAATTATATTATGGCTGTGGTTAATGGTTACTTCAGAGATTTATATATAATATTTTATAAATAGCACCAATAAATATTGATATGGATGTTATTCTAAAAGCCATGTCCAGGCCTAGTATACATTTTTAGCCCACAATATTAGAATTTTGCATCATAAGCAGTAACTTACTTGATAAATAATTTAGGTACCCTAAACCTAGACCGAGTTTAATAGTAGAATAATTATTTCAACCAGTATTTATTAATACAAGTAGAGATTTGGAAAAAAATAATCTACGAAATCTATGAAATTGACCAACAAAAAAATGTAAAAATAATTCATACTTCTTCTGGAGGTCCTTGTTCTGCAAATCTATTGAATCCACCTCTTCCGCCACCACGGCCTCCGCCACCACCACGGAAATTGCCACCTCCGCCTCCTCGGCCACCTCCATCACCTGCAATTACAAAATCATGTTTAATACTTTTATGGTCATTAATAAATACAATCGATATGAAAAATAGAAACCAATAATAATTAATAGATAGAGGTACCTACTTAAAAAAATATTTAATTCAAAACAAATATTAAGCTGAAAACAAGTATAATTTTTTTAAAAATCATGTAAGTCATCGAAATGGTTTCCAAGATTAAGTTAATAATCAAGGAATCGCATAGCATATGATCCACATAAAATATTATATTATGATTTACCTCGGCCTCCTCTAAAACCACCGCCTCCACGACCAAAGCTGTTTCTATTATTGTTGTAAGACATCGGAATTTGGAATCAAAACATGCGATTAATAATTAATTGCTAAATACAAATTGAGTAGTCATTTGAATAAAAAGTCACGTGTTCGTGTTCGTCGTTTGGGCCGGTTAGGCTAACATGGAAACGACTTCAAACCGTACAAACAACAAACGTGTTACTTATCACAACGTTGATGATAACATGACAATCCAAATACCTCAAATCCTGGTAACAACTACTATAAACCAAATCTCAGGTTGTAAACATGACTGAAATGCGTATAATCATATTGTTCTATGGTATAAAAATTCTTCGAATTGGGACACAACCACAACTACCACCAACCGTGATTATGGCCGTCTTAACAAGACCACTATCAAATCACGTATCGGTTATCCAAAATCCAAATAAATCGAGCATCGGCCATCATGATTATTTCGCGGCGATTAGTGTGTGTCGTGTGCTGGTGAATGGTGATTATATATATTTATCATGTGCGCGAGTATTTTGTATGTTATTTTTAAGCTCAGCTCAACATTTTCGTCAAAAATCCAGTGAAATTCTACTGGACAATTTTCGCGATTAACGCAAACCAATAATCCATTCAACCGACGTCTGGTTCACGACCACTCTAGTTTTGTCGTGAATAAGATTAAACGGTGAACAATAACCGTGCGGCCATGGATGACAAAATCGAACTAAAAACCGAACATTCGTTGCCGGCAAAGACTGAACCAACAGACGACGAGATTGCTTTGCCGCTGACCAGCAATGAGTCACTGTGTCTAACAAACAATGGAATACTGTTGAACCGTGAGCAGTTGTCAGTCAACTCGGTCAGTGAATTAAATAACATCAACCATTCCAATATACAACAGCCCGCCAAAGACAAGATAGTTACGAGCTCTCAGTATCTCACTACCCAAACTGCTGATACGGACATCAATGAAAGTAATTATTTATAAGAACTCTACTATGTATATCCTCTATTGTCATCCTATCCATGTACACATTTTAATATAAATTAAACACAAAATATATATTATTTTCCAATAAACAATTTATAAATTAGTAACTAAAATACTCCCCTTAATGACACAGGTATATCAACAAGTGATATGCAACTGGGTATTATATACATATTATGTTCAATAATGCCTTCATTTTTAAATGAATAAAGTAGAATATGGGTGCCCATCAACTAGTTAATTTTTTGTTTTATAAAACATTTTTTAATATTTTTCAATTATTTTATATTAGGTTAGTACCTACCTACTGTAAACATCAATCAAACTTACCTTACTTATTTTTTATTCAATTTTATGTTTCAGGATCATGGGATTCTCATATTATTACTCCTCCTTCATTGTTCCAAACAAGTTCCGAAATTGTACTACATGGTCCTCTCAAAGATGTCCATGGTTCGACTTCTGAAAGCACTACAATTGATTCTGATAGAGAAATCAAACTGGTACTTATTGATATATTTTTTTTTGTGTTAAGATTAAAATGTGTAGTTTTTTTTTTTAGCTGACAGAAGATAAAGAGAAATCAGTTGACAATTTATATCCTGAATATGATTACATATTTTGCATTGCAGCTATAAGTAGAACAACACCAAATAGTTCTAAACTGCTTGCGGTATGTTATTTTATACATTTTTTGCCTCTACTTTAATTACCCTTTGTTCTTTTTTGATATTTTGAATACTTTTGTAATATATCTATGGGTACCCTGTTAGGTATAAGACATCGAGGGAAGGTGTTTGCTGAGGTCACATGCATAGTTTGTTTGGGCTTTATAATGTGTAACAATGTGTAGTCAATATTTTATAATCTTGTCCCTACTTCTTATACGAGTATAAGAAGAGGGTAATAATACCTCAGAAATACATAAATTACATTTATTGGTTCATTTAATATACACTCCTAAAATCATTTCAACTAATATTTATATCTCACACAATACAGTACAATCATTAAAATTAGACCCATGATTTTCAAGCTCCAAGTGGTTGTTGTTTAGTCCTTTTTTTTGGAAATAATAGCCTCGTGGAGTGCAATCTGGTGTCCACTACTAATGCATAAAAAATGACAAATTTTTGGCTGTTCTGTAATAAATAATAATTTAAATTATTTACTGTAAAAGGTAAGTTGTTTTTAAATATTAATACCAAGAGCATTTCTAAAACATTTAATTAAATCAGAATCAATTTTCATCTTATAAATTGTATGTCTGATGAGCATTCTCAGCCTGCTATGATCAAGTCAATGTCATATCTCATAACTCATAAGTAATTCTTTAACGCTATTACTATAATATAGAGACACGGGCTTTTGTGTTTGAAATGCACACACAAGTTTGCGTTGCTCAAAATATGAATGTGTCAAGCTTATAAATCCTGAACTACACAAAACGATGCATTATTGATTGATTATAGGCCCTGGTCAGATAAATTCCAACTTGGTATAATAAAAAAAAAAATAGTAATTTAAAAAAGTTACTATGTAGATTTAACCATTTTTATACAATTAAAATTATACTTATTAAAAATTAACACTCACCATTAATTAGTGACCATAGAAAATTGAAATATTTCATTGTAATTATGAAGTTAATGATAATTACCTTCTGCACAATAACATTCCTGTTATTCTCAAATTGTCGGATCCTAACCTTCCATATTTACTCAAATCTCTCCATACAAAATTGGACTATTTTACTACCTTCTTAAATGTAATTTATTAATAAGGAATATTTTTAATGTTCCTCTTTTTAGATACTTGGATACATTTGAAAATTGATTATCAAAAAATTAATGGTTAAAGAATCAACAATGTATATTTATTATTTTATTTGTTAAAAAATAGAGTTTTTCTTACGGAGACCAATAATAGTTGTCTGTGTAGAACATTAAAATTTAATCTTCCTCAGATTTTCACCTTTGTTTGCAATTTAATGTTTTTAATACCTATTTAAAGATGTAAATTAATTTTAAGGTATCAATTGCATTGGTACAATATTTCTTCACAAAAAAATGTACATACTAATACTATCAAAGGGAACGTTAGAAGTAGAAGCACTCATACTTAAAGTCCTATTCTATATTTATGTATCAAAATACTTTTAAAATATTTTTCTTTGGAATATAAAATTTTAAATGTTCAGAATTAAAAATATGAAAAACAATTTTTTTAAACATTTTTTCAACAAATGGACACCATCTTAAAAAATTTTCAAAAACATTTGTACTTTTTGAAAATAATTAACCAAAAGGTACTTACGATGTTATTTGCTAGTCCAAACAAGTTTTTCTTGTTGTATGATGACCATCATGATTGCAAACATATTTTAAATAATAATATTTCAGATTGTCAGAAGCATTTTCAATTTTCTGTTAGGGTACTTTATTTTTAATGGAGATAATGTTTTGTTATCTACTATTGAGAAATCAACAATCTTTTGTTCTTATATATTTTTAAAGATTTTTCGAAGTCTGCGTATGAGAAAAATCTATCACCAAATACTTTGCACTCCCTGTTCATTTCTAGTATTTTCCGACATTTCGTACACGAGCACACAACTCGCAGATACGTTGAGTCACAACACATGATTAATATTTAAGCATTTTGATTATTCTTATTCTTAAAATAGCTAGGTATATAAAATTGTACATATTTTTGGCCTCCCCCCTTCTACCATGAACAATAATCTAGTCTTATCACATCAAATTTCTAGCAACGTGATCTGTTATCACACTCTTTAGTGAATTAAAAACACGTTCGTCCGTGCTTGCAGTTGCAATACAAACAGTAGCGTCCGTGTGCGCGTTTTAAATATAACACGAACATGACGAACGTCCTTGTCTCATAAATCGTGCTCTAGGCTTAGTGACTTTAATTATTTTTGTACTAAAATGATTGGATAATGACGCCCGATCATAATATTTGAACCATCTATTAAGTTCATGTTAGTTTTTAATTAAATGTTTCCCTCATTTTTCTATTCAAAATTATGGGTTCGGTTTTGTATATAAATAATTACAATATTTTAAGAGGAGGCTACACCCTTATGTGTTGCTTCTGTCTTACAAAAGTATTACTTAAAAAAAAAAACGTAAAACTTTTTTGCGCGGGAAAGAACCGAGCAGTCTACTTATTTTCACCACATAAAATGGAGAAGTTTGGCTGTGAAATATTGTTTTTATTTTTCAATATCGGAACTACAAAAAATAGTATTTAAGTTTGGAATAATGGATTTTGAAACAATAAGAACTTTTTTTGAAGAAGTAATATGAAAAAAATAAAAACAATTATTCCCGGATAATCTCAACTACATTGGCCATCACTACCGCCTGAGTTTATACTATGTTGTTAATTTGTTAGACGGAGGCAACACATGTGGGTGTAGTGGCCTCTAAAAATCAATTTATCAAGATATTTTACATGTATGTATTTTTTATTCAAGGTTACCTATATATTTGTGTTTTTTAGATATCAAAAATTGATTCAAACATTAAAGTTGATATAAAATCTGATGTATCTTCACTTAATGGTTATGCTGCTGATCATTCTAGCTCATCAAATTCAACGTAACTATTAATAAATATTTATAAATGTGCATTAATCAATTTTACTTATTTATTTTAATTATACAGTTAGTGGATCGGTGGCTGACTGTTTGTAAGGAGTTAGAAATAGGCAATTTTCAATTTGCTTGCATGTGGGTCTTGTAAATGTGTGTGTAAAATAAATAGTGGAGCGCTCTCGCCGTACATGCACATGTCACCGACTAGGTGTTGCGTGCCTGGGCGGTAAACAATTAATGCTCATTTCATTTGTATGTACTTTTTGTCTACCCTACCAATCTACCTAGTAATGCAATTATATTTCAGAAAACTGAACTGAATTTGTTATAATGTTTATGTGAAATCTGCCATTCCACATTTTAAGATATCTTATTTAAATTCTAAGAAATCAACGTTAGAAAATTCCTAATATTCAAGACTGATCAATCTCTAGTCGGCATTATAACGAATTCAAATCAGGCTTAAAACAAATGTTCGCGTTGGTAGGTCAGTCAGTATGATAATAAAAGATTGTTATGTTTTGGCTAAAATAACTGTCTGCCACCGGTCCCCTTAACATGACATTATGATAGAGAATTGTTATTAATTTATTATAAGTTTTTATTGTTGAAAAATATTTAAAAATTCAATATTCAAATAATGATTAATTAAACATTAATAATATGTACTCACCCTTTACTTTTGAAAAATAATGTGAAACCTTTAACTATTTATTAGTTGTGGCCATTTAATTGAAGAACCATTTTTGGTACCAAAAGCTCCACGAGATTCATTTATGTCATCTTCAACATCATCACTTAGTGGTTCATCAACTGGAATACTTTTACAGCAATCAAAATGTAAGTATGAGCGTATGCCTAATTTCAAGGTTATGAACCTCTAATTTACCTACTAGATTAATTTAGATTATAACAATTTTATTTTAAAAATGTTTAAGCTGCATCATATTTTGTTTTAAAATTTGTGATTAATCTGAATATTACGTACTTATTATTGTATTTATTAAATCTACCAAAATCTATCTAATAAAATGTAATAAAATAAAAATTAATGTAGGTTTTTTTTATACTCATTTTGTACATAAAGCAAAACAATTAATTATAGTTAAAGGGTTGTTTATTTATAACTATGGCTGTGCATTTAATGCATTAAAATCTCAACAAATTCAGTATATAAATGCTTTCTGAAAAGATTCATGAAATGTATAATTTAAAAATATAATATAAAATATTTTAAATCAAGGATACTATTAATTATGTACGTACTGATCGTTTAAAATATTTATAGGGAGAAAAGTTACTTAAATAAAAAATGTAAACCCATGTAAATTATTAAAATTAATAATCAAAAAAAATTCTTAATAATAATTCATTAATACCTAAATCCCACTTTGTACCAAAGAAGCTTCGTTTTACTTTAACTAAAAATAATTCATTTTTCTACAAATTCACAGTCTTATTTATAACTGTTATGTTATTTTATATTTTTTAGCCAAACATAACAATATTTTACTGTCAAAAAATGTATACACATATCCAGAAAATTTAGCTTGTCACAAGTGTGACCATGTATATCCACGGGTAACGGAAAATTGTATTGCTAATAGTATGGACAATAAGGACATCAAAAGTGAACCTCAAACTAAAACTCGGTAAAAAAATTATAGTTGGTTCAAATCTTAGTACTAAAATGTTTTATTTTATAGTGCTGGAAAATCAAGACAAAAAAAAAGACCCAAACAGAATAATGATAGTAGTTCAAAAAAAAATTTTAAAGTATGTGCCTTATTTAATATATTAGCTATATAATAGTATAATTCATAATTACGCTTGTAGATAGTATAGTAATTATTATATTAATTATTTTAGTTGATAACAAAAAACACTCTAAACATTGTAGCGGTTTTGGTTTTTTTTTTTTTTTTAATTAGAAAACAAATTCTGAAAATGTTTTCGATGAGAAAAATGATGTTAAAATAGAGGAACCTAAATGTTATGATATGACAATTAATTGTGTTGAAAATCCAATAAATGAAGAAAATTCAACAAATAATAAAAATCCAACAAATGATGACACTCCAACAAATGATCCCTTAACATTTAAAACGGGTTTGTGAAATATGATCATTATAAAATATAAATAATTGTTAGGTTATTTTGATGTAAATATTTTTTTGTTGTAGGTGATAAAATATTTGCATACTGGATGGCAGATAAAATGTTTTACCCAGCTGTTATAATTGATATAGCAACTCCAAAATTTAAAGTAGAATTTTTAACTGACTACTATATAAAACTATTGAATTCTGATTGTCTTGTTCATAGTGCAGCTCTAAAAATTGGAACTCTTGTCGCAATATTTGATACTGTTTCCCAAGAGTATAGAGTTGGTGAAATAGTTACTATTAATGAGTATGTACAACATAACATGGTTGATTCAATATTATAGTGTATATAATTAATAGTGACATATAAGTTTACATAAAACATTGTTTCCAGAGTGCCCAATGGTGAAAAAACATATACAGTAGATTTGAATTCAGAAGTAGTTGTTGTTCCTTTTGAAAAACTAGTGCTGGATATGGATAAAGCAAGAAACTTACAAGACAAAATTGTATTAAAAAATTATCATAGACTTAGCATGTGTATGTAATTGCATTTATGTTCATTATTTTTATTTATTAATAGTTCTCAATTATCATCTAATTTAAAATAATTGTTTGATTTATAATATTAGCTAATGTATCGGAAGGAAAAAGAATTCGCTTATCCCGATCAACTAGTACAAAATGTAAAGCCACAAAAAATGAATCCAGTAAACGTAAGAAAACTAATGCTCCAGAAACCAATAAAAAAAAACGGAAATGTCTATTTCCTGAAGTACCTGATCCCAGGTCCATTCCTAGTACTAGCACAGGAATTACTGGAGGAGATGATTATGATGAAGGAAACTTTCAAGCTGCTTCTTCAGATTCAGATTTTGAGTAAGTTATTTTATGTTTAATATTTTTTCTGCATGATTATCTTAACACAAATTTATTCTTAATATATACATTGCCAAAATTATAACTAAAGTGATCAACATTGCTTGTCAATAATTTTTCTAAAGGCCATACTAATATACTATTATAAAAATTTAAAATATACATCATATATACACTGAAACCTCTAAATACCGGACACTCTTGGTAACTGAATATTTTTTTTGCTATTCGAAAGGTTCAGTTAGTAGAAAATTTGTAGTTTTTTCCCAAAAAAACATTTACTATTTGAAGATGTCCGCTATTTAAGGAAGTTTATACTGTATGTTAAAATATTATAATATTAAAGAACTTAAGAAAAATATGTTTTAAATAGTGTAGCTATTGCTTAATAATTATTGTTTTATTATTGAAAAATATCCAAAAAATAAAAATTATGTGCAATTTACTATAAGTGTTTCTTTTATTGGCTTTAATCAAGATTTCTATTTTACACAAAAGTATAGAAATTAACTTATGAGTCTATGGTTAATTGTGTAATATTTCATTATTATTTAAAAGTAAAGATAAATTACTTTTAAAATTATATTCCTTGATTTTTATTAATGCAATTACTCAATTTTTAAATTAAATATTTGTTTATTATAACTTAATAGAATCTTATCATTGATCTTGTTATTTAGTCATGTTAGAGAAGATTTAACCAATGTCAACTTGGCTCAATTAAAAAACTCAGACATTGATAGCGAGCATTCATCTCCTGACAAAATTAGCAGTGCAGTTGTGTCTCCCACAACTAAACCCGTAAAATTATTTGAGAATTTACACTTTATTGTCTCTTATTCTAAATATAAACGGATACCGATGTCCAATGACAGTGATCAGGGCACTGATAATGAAATCAACCAACGTAAGTAGACAATTAAAATAATACATTAGTTGTATTATGTATGTTTAATTATTTTACTGTACACTTAATAGTTAATTTTATTTTTAGATTCACAATATTTCAAACCAGATAAAATCCATAAAAAGTATCTGGAAAATTTAATATATAAACATGGTGGTGCTGTTCATAGGTATTTAAATGTATTACCCAAGTCCTGTTACAAGTGTTCATACATTATTACTGAT